CAGAGATAAGCTGAGTGGAGCTCGCAGGACAATCTTCTAAAAATTTTAAATTCTCATATAATTTAAATATTATTTTATATTTTTTATTGATAATATGTTTTCATTTTTAAAATTTTATACATTTGTTCTCACATAAAATCTTACGTGCATCTTAGACTCATACTGACTTGTTTGCTTTTATCTTAGGGGTCACTTTTGCCAATGTAGTAGATTCAATTTATCATTTTGACCCTATCATATTTTCGCATCAATTTACCTCTCAAAGTTATTTAATTGCATTATCTATACCTATCATTAAAACCTTACTTTGATAACCTAAACCCTAAACAATAACCCCATAACTTTTAAACCATAAACCTTAATCTCTAACTTAAAAAAGAGAAACTTCGAGAGATAATTGATGTGAAAATACGATAGGAGCGAAAATGATAAATTAGATCTTCTACAGAGATAAAAGTGACTTTTTTATCTTTGTTTTTTTTTATGAGAGAAGAGGTTGCATAATTGAAGAAGATACATCTTAGTAAGTTAAATATTTGCAGGAATATTGTGTGTTTCAAATTGTTAAGGAAATCAAATTTAAGATTATGTATAATGTATACGTAGAATGAGTAAACTTGACTCAACTTGAAAAATCGATTTTTTCGACTCTATTCGAAAAAACTCTCGAATTTACTTTGAGTTGTAATTTTATAAACTCAATTCGACTAAAAAAATTCCAAGTTCAAGTCATATTATAAAATATAACTCTAACAACTCAAAACTTTTAGTATTTAGTGGATTTGTTTTCAAGTTTGAGTTGAGCCCGTCGACTATATATATATGTATATCACATATGAAGAAAATATGAAGAAATAAATGTGTATTTATATGGTTATAAAATAAACTTGATTCGACTCGAAAAAATTCATATCAAGTTTAAGTTATAAAATATGACTCATCAACTTGAGTAACTCAAAATTTTTTGATTTAACTTGACTCGATCAAACACTTTCCTTTATGTATCAATACCACCACTTGGAAGAATGTTTACAAACCAAACGTAGGAATTATCAAAACCCGAAATTTGGTCTAATAAATTTAGGTTATTAACGCAATAATAAATTGACTCTCATGTATTTACCTATAATGCATTAATATGAAATATTTAAGTTTTCCATTTATATTAATCTCTGCTAAAATGGCCTCTATATTTTTTGGAAATTCAATTCTATTTTAATTAAAAATTGTTAGTACACTTGAAGCACTTTAATCATTTATTTATTTATTAAACTTATATTTTATAACACAAATGTAAATCAAATTGTTAGTACATAAAAAATATAATGTCAACAAAAAAAAGGTTTATAATTTTCATCGTAATAATAATACTTGAATGCATCGATATATAATATAATTATTAACATTAAAATATATAATTTTCAATACTTTTTACCTTACAAATGATTGAATTGCCCTTCTTAACAACAAATTTCCTTTTACTTATTATATTTTGATTTGAAATTTTCAACTAAAGCATCTCAAAAGTTAAAAAGAACATCCCTTATGTTATAATAAGGGTAAAGTACACAACTGGTCACTCTACTATATTAAATGCTACAAAATGATTCTCCAACTATAAGACATTTTGTTGAGTTCTTTAACTATTAAAAGTTACAAAATAATTACTTGACTATTAATATGTTCCAAACTCGTCTCTTTTTCGTTAAAAAATTGACGGTCATCTGAGTTGAACGATAACTTGTTCATTAGGATATGATAAAATCTTATCCTAGAACTATTTGAGTTGTATTATGTGGATCGAGTCTCTGTTTACATTATGTCGTTGAGCCAGAGCTTGAAACATTATTGTAGAGCACAAGGTTCTTAACCTTGAGGTCGTTGGATCGAGTCTCATGGAAGACATTTCATAATTCGAAGGTCTCCTCCGGAAGCTGCACTCAACCTAATGTTGGGGGCAATCTACTATCTTACCTCCCCTTACCACATTACATATGGAAACAAGAGACAACCATTTAGCGCAGACAACCATCAACTTTCGTAACAGAAAAAGACGAATTTAAAATATATAAATAATTAAATGTTTATTTTATATCTTTCAATCGTGAGAGAATTCTTTTTAACGTCCTATATGGATTTTTGGGTTCACACAAATTATTGACTATATTATTCTTTCGATCATTTACTGGAATTTGAATTGATCACTTTTTAAATAATTTAGCTTCGGTTTTTTCGGCTCAAGAGTTTGGGGACGGCTGTTCTCTTCTATTTATTTACAGTCGAAATTACAGCATTAGTTCTTCTGCTACTTCCGCCCCCCATCTGTGGTTCCCTTTCAATCTCAGCTCTTGTTATTCATCGGCTTTATCCCTCCCCTGCGTGACCCTAGTTCAAATCCCTTTGAGCGCAATTTTGTCCCTTTAATTTTCACTTCCATTGGGTGGTGATCAGTGACGGATCCAGAAATTTAAAAATATGAGTCTAAAATTTTAATTTTTTTTTAAAATAATGGGTATGCAAAAATTGTAATTTTTTCCTTTTTTTCTTAATACATTAAACTAAATTTAACCACTTTTTAAAAAAATAATGGGAATGTACTTGATCTTATGGGGCCTTAGTGCATCCGCCACTGGTGATGATACGTGTCACCATCTGATTGGATAGAAAAATAATTTAATTAAATAATTTAAAATTCATAAATAAAATCTTCCAATCATATATTGATATGTGCCACGTTCTAATTTGATAGTTAAATTTATTTAATTGAATTAAAATAATGACTAAATTGATAGAATATGTAAATATTAAGGACCAAATATAAAATTATGCCAATTAAGCTTAACAGACACATTAGGGATGGCACAATGACCCGAACCCGGCAGGGAAACCCGAAACCCAGCCAAGTTCTGGTCGAGTCGGGTTTTAATAAAATCAGGTCGGGTCGGGTATCGGGGATTTTTTCGGATTCGGGTTCGGGGTAAGGTATCCCTGCCTCGATTATATATATATATATAATATTTTTTATTTTTTATATTAATTATATATATAATATTTTTGTATTTTTGTATTAATTATATATATAATATTTATATTTTGTATTAATTATATATAATATTTTATATTTTTATATTAATTATATAATACAAACACTAAACATTTAAACCCTAAACCCTAACTTTTATAATTATGTATGTGTTTAATTATGTATGTGTTTTTATTTTGGAGTTTAGGAAATTATTTATAATTGAGTTTAAATTTGTGACTGTAGTTTGAGTTGTAAATAATGTAGACTAATTTCCCATTTTTTGTGATTGTTTTTCTATTTATTTTTTTATGAAAAATACGGTTTTTCTAGAGATCGAGTCGGGTTCGGGTACAACACTTCGGGTCGGGGAAAAAATCCCCGACTGGGTGCCCTGATAAAAAATCCGTCGAGGATCAGGGCGGGGACGGGAGAGCAAAACCTGTTCCGAACCCGCCCTCTTGCCATTCCTAAGACACATCACCACCTCTGTTAAAAATTAACGGCCGATGGTTTGATTGAATCAATTAAATAGTTGGGTGGCCTGAATGATTCAATTGAAAGTTCGATGGTCACATTGATTTTTTATCATAGTTTAGTGGTCTCCCACGTAGTTTACCCTATAAAGTTTAGTTATTAAATTAAAATCTTTTAAAGTACAATAATTAAAATAGGAGCGATAATAAAAAACAGCAGTTAAATTTATAATTTGCCCTCTTTTTTTTGAAAAGTTATAATTTGCCCTTAAAATGAAGGCATAGTTACATTTCCCTACTTACCCTCACAATCACCAGCATATTTGTCACGTGTCTTACGTGTGCTATTGTGTTGAGTTGGGGACGCCTTTTTCTTTTCTAGTTCTTTACAGTCGGGACCACAACATTAGTTCTTCTGCCATTGCCGCCCCCATCTGTGGTTTCGTTTCAACCTCAGCTCTTGCTTTTCCATTTCGAGATATGGGTAAGCTTAACTCTTCTCTTATTCTTCGTTCTGTTTTCAATGGTGGAAGGGTTCTTTCTAATTCCCACGCTTCTTTTTCTTCTTCTTTTAACCCTTTTGCTACTCACATCAATGCTTTACATAAGAAATCCATCTCTGTAAGTGGAAAGCCAAAATAATATGATAGTTTCCACAGTGTTGGTGATGCTTTGATCGTGTTTGACAAGATGATTGAGCAGTATCCAAAGCCTTACATCGTGGAATTTCACTAAATTTTTAGCTACCGTTGTTAGGATGAAACATTATGCCCTTGTCGTTTCTATGTGTTGGAGTATGGAATTACTAGCAGTTTCCCATGATGTTTATTCTTTGAGCATCTTGATTAATTGTTTTTCTCAATTAGGTCGGGTTGATTTTGGGTATTCTGTTTTGGGGAAAATGCTCAAGTTAGGTGTTGAACCTAGTGTTGTAACTCTGTCCACTCTGATTAATGGATTTTGTAAGCAAAATAAGATTTCTCGGGCAGTGAGTTTGTTTGATGAAATGGTTGAAAAAGGGTATCAATCTAATTTAATTGCTTACAGTACAATTCTTAATGGTTTGTGTAAGATTGGCAATACGGATAAAGCTGTTAGGCTGCTAAGGATGATGGAAGGAAGATGTTTTGAACCCGATATTGTAGCATACAACACTGTCATCGACTGTCATTGTAAGCACGGGCTGTTAAAGGAGGCTCTCGATCTCTTCTCTGAATTGAAGGTTAATGGCATTGGACCAGATACTATTTCTTACAATTGCCTAATTCATGGTATGTGTAATTCGGGCCAGCAAAAGGAGGCAACAAGGCTGTTGAACGAAATGGTGGATAACAACATTTCACTCCATATTTTCACATATAATATATTGATCGATGCACATTGCAAGGAAGGGATGGTTTTTGAAGCAATAAATATTGTTGACACAATGAGAAAACAAGGCATTGAGCCTGATGTTGTTACCTATAATGCATTAGTAAAAGGCTATTGCTTGGGAAACAAAGTGGATAAAGCCAGAGGAGTTTTGCGGTTGATGATTGAGAAGGGTTGTGCACCTAATCTAGTTAGTTACAACGCAATAATCAATGGATATTGCAAAGCTAAAAGATTAGACGAGGCAATGGAACTCTTTCATGAAATATATCGGAAAGGACCAATACCGGATATTGTCACATGCAACACTCTTTTGCAATGTATGTTTCAGTTGGGAAAAGTTTACTGCATGTGATTTTTTGAGGAAGATGCTTGCTTCTGGATAAGTACCGGATCTAGTTGTAAACACTAATTTTTTCATTTCGTTTTATTATTTTTATTATTAAAATTATTATTATTATTATTATATATTTTATTATTAATAATATTATTAAATATTATTATAAAAAATAATTACAAATACCCAAGGCCCAAAACACAGAGCCCGTTTACATGCTCAAATCCAACTAGAACCGGCCCAAAAGATGACCCAAACCCTTCTAGGGTTTGTATCATTTCCAGCAGCCGTCAACATCATCAGCCGTTGGATCTGGCAAGATCCAACGGCCCAAAAGGGTTCCAGATTGAAAACCCTAGGGTTTCTAACCCTAGCAGCCGTTTCCAGTGATTCCCAGCCGCCTCCAAGATTCCAGAACAACCACGTGGCCGTCGCCGTTGCTTCCAGACGTTCCAGCTGCCGCCGCCATCGCCAGAAGGCTCCAGAAGGCTAGTTGCTCCCCACATGTCACGGCTATGGGGTGAGTCACCACATAGCTCGGTGAATCACCGAACTTCCCCCTCTAGACCGGTCCGAGCATGGCTCGGTGGTGGCTATAAAAGCCACCGGATCCTGCAAAACAAAAGGAAAAAAAACAACAACAAACAGAAAAAAAAAGAGACAGAGCAAGAACTACAGCCACGAGAGAAGAGACCACGGCGAAAACGGGAGAGCCGAACGAATAACAAGCAACCACATCAGCTAAATATCGTAGGAAAAGAGAGGAAAGAAACTTACCGAAGAACTTGCAGTCATCGGAGCCTCCTTGTGCGACCGTAAAACCGAAAGGTTGAAGGTAAAAAAGGCTAGATCTACGACGTTAGGTAGATTTTTAGGTTAAGATAACCCTGGATTTAACTTTAGGATAACCGGGGCTTTGATTTGGTGTATATTAGTAAATTTCGGCCACCATGTACGGTGGCTGGCGGCGGCGGCGATCACCACCAGAGTATGGTGGTTGGCGGCTGCTGGAGATCACCTCCGATAGGAGGAATTTAGAGAGAAGCGAGAGAAAAGTTTCCTCTCTCAGTTAGAGAGAGAGGAGAGAAAGAAGAAAATGAGGGAATGGCCCGAAGGGCCGGCCTGAGTTGGGTTTAAATGCCCTTTCCCAAACGACACCGTTTTGGGGGAGGGGTATTTCTGTAATTCCCCTCAAGGGTAAAACCCTTTCTGCAGCCCTCTATATTTGTAACTTTGCAATTTAGTCACTGAAATTGATTTTTAATCATTTTAATTCGGTTTTATAATTTTATTTAATTTATAATTTAATCCTTGCCTGCTTAAATAATATTTAGGGTAAATACCCATTTTAGTCATTATCAGTTTATATATCTTTAGGATAAATAATAAATTTAGTCCCTTATGTTTTAATAATTATTATTTTAGTCACTAAATTAATAAATGCATAAAATAGCATGTTTAGCCACTGCAATATTAAATAATTAATTACGAATTAGAGTATTTAATTTCAATATGTTATAATTTAGTCACTAATTTTAATACTTTTATTTAATTACAAGTTTTATTACTTTTTATATTTAGTTTTAATTTTATTTTAATTATTGTTTAAATATATTTTAATTTTATATGTTTAATTTTTTAATTAGTATTATTATTTTATTTTTTATTATATATATTTGATTAATTTTATAAATTAATAATGTTTATTTATTTTTAATATCGAAGAAAAGGACAGTCTTGATAACTGGATGTCCTATTCTGGTATTTTAAATAATTAAATATTATAATTTTTTACTTAAATTATTTTACTTTTAAATTTTTACATTTTTAGTTATTTATTTATTAATATCAAAGAAAAGAGCTGTCTTAAAGCACCTAGAAGCCATTTTCTGATTTTTTTAAATAAGTAAATATCTTATTTATATATTAATATATTTTCTTAAAATTTTGAAATAATAGGATTATAAATTAAATATATTTTGAATTTTTAAATTTTTAATAATAGAGACAATTTATAATTAAAAAGTACCAATTTTGGGCGTTGTAGGGGTGCTAGTCCTTCCCTAAACGTAACCGACCACGAATCCCTTTTTATTATTAAAAAGAATGAATTTTTGGTTATACGCAGATCAGTTCATTTTTTAATTGATGTTTTCTTAAAACTCTTTTAAAAAATAATTTTTAGGTATTCAACCTACCTGTCCCAAAAGGCCGATGGCGACTCCCAAATTATTTTCAAAACCATTTATTCACATCACTTTTCCCGTCAAATAAAAAATTTCGTGCTCGGACGAAATCCGGTTACGACAGCTTGGCGACTCTGCTGGGGACGGTCAAACTTTTAAAATCAATTATAAATTGTCTCTATTAATTATAAATTAAAAAAATTCATATATTTGATTTATAATTCTTTCTTTTCAAATTTTTTATATACTTATTATTTTCATAGTATTCATATATTTTCTTATTAATATTTCATTATTTGCAAGTATTTTATTATTTATTTTTCTGTCAGAGGTTTAAACATTTCTCCTCACACACAACACTTGCATAGCATAAAGCTCTATAATTGAGTTTGTCCCTTTTAAGTGGAAGTGAAAGCGACGTCTTCGTGAGAATTTATTCTCCGTGTTAGACCTAGCAAGTAACTTTCGGGGTTCATATGCTCTATATCTTCGTGAGAATTTATTCTCCGTGTCAGGCATAGAGAAATGTATCCCCTCGAATTGAACTTGATCCACTTTAGTCTGTGATGGATTAGGATTGAGGGTTAACAGCCCAAGGGGGCATCAACAGGGACAGTTCGAGTACCTTTACTCCTAGAACTAAAAACCTGCATATAATAAACCCTAGAAATTCTCCTAATCTAAGACAATACTGAAACCATTTCCATAGGTATACACAAAGGAGAAATAAGTTTTAGTTTTTAATTTATTATTTTTTCTGAATAAATGCCTGCGAACTAAAAATCATGCGGTTAGGTTAATTTTTCCTAACAAAACATGGAACTAGAAAGCATGAGGTTAAGATTTCTACCTTAATAGATAGATTTTTTTATTAGTTGGTACTAACTATTTTATTTTTTCTCATTTCTTTTGTTTGCATTGCATGATCATAGCATAACCAAAAAGGTGTTTACTAGAAAGACTGTTCATCGTATTGGAAAGAAATCGTAAATGGACAAAATGTTTTATGATCAAACAAAATATGACGAGGCCAAGGAATCGCATCCCGAGGGAACTCCGAGGATAGAAGAGAGCTATGCACCTAGAGATCATGTGTCCATTAAGGAGCAAGAGGAGATACGAGAAATAAGAGAGCAGATGTCCAAGATGATGGATAAAATATCTGTTTTGGCCAAAAGAGAAGAGAATCCTGCACAGAAAGAGAGAAATCTTAATGAACATAATCCTGCAATTTCAAATATGCAAGAGACTTCTGATCCTAATCAATTGGAGAAATTACAGACAATCATCATCCGTATTCACAAGTCATTTGGAGATACCAAAGAAAATAATTAAAAGCTTCCAGAGAAGAGAAGAAATCATGTAACCTGAAATCATCGAAGTTTAATATGCTCCCGATATCTAAAACTCAGGTTCAATTCAAGACAAAAGGCAATTCTCATGTTGATGCTATACCTATATCATATAAAGAATTGTATGAAAAGTTACTTGAAGCACGAGAAGTGGATCCATATTATATAAAACCGTTCCAACCTCCGTATCCAAATTGGTATGACATCAATGTTCATTATGAATATCATGCCGGAGCTCAAGGACATACCATCGAGAATTTTCTTGCCTTCAAACGCCGAGTTCAAAGTCTTTTGGATCAGGGAATCTTGCAGTTTATGATAAATGATCGACCTAGTTTGGTAACCGAGGGTCCTGATAGATTAATACCAAAAGTCTTCAAAGGTAAGAATATCAGTAGGGGCGCCCAGAGAGAAGAAGATTTGCTAAGGTTTGAAGCTCAAATACGTCATTTGAAGATTGAAAACGATAAATTGAGCACCAAAATGGAAACCATACATGAAGATTTCCAGAAGGTCAGTCAAGCCTTTCAAAATGTTGGTATAGGAAACACCCCAGAAGAGTGGATAGCAGGGGTCACCAAACTGAAAAAAGTTGCAACATACATGAAGATATTGTCCAAAAACTTTTTGAACACAAAGGTTATTTCTCAAGGGAAAATGAGCAACTCCAAGAATTGACACAGGAGATGAAAGAACACCAGAATGTTATAGAAGAAACTGCAGTCCAGACAAGCAATACGGCTCATAAACTGATAAACTAACTTGGTTTTAGAGAAGAAAATAAGAAAGTTATTCCCTATATGTAAAGTTAGGATTAAAAGTTGTCCCCTATATGTAAAAGTTTTGTTTAATGCACGGAGACTTTTGTGTTCAATGAAATCTGTTCTAAGATGATCACTCTTGAGTATCACCTTTTCATATATGCATTATCATTTTGCATCTTTGCATTTTTCATTTTGCATTCATACTTTTATGTTTACCTTTGAATTACACATTTTGCATTCTTATTTTTCCATTTATGCATTTTTCACATTTTTTAAGTACTGTTATGTACTTTAATTATAAAAATATGTAAATAATTCATGAAAGGTTTTGTAACAGTAAAAAAAACCAGGACCATTCATTCATATTACTCTACTATCATCATAAAAACAATGGAGTAATCTTATAAGGGACTACAAGACCAGTGGCTAGAATAATTGACAGGGTTACCTCGGGATATAAGGAAAGAAACATCAGATTCAGTACCAGATGGATCAAATCAAATTATTCAGAGTATGGTATCTGATAAAGAAGAGATAACTGCTAAAGAGAAATCATGCTATCAAATTGAAGAGTCGGGAAAGATAACATACCATGGGGCATCCCACTCAAGCCCAAAGAATAGCCTCATTAATTATTCACAATATGAGAAGAGAGTCAAGAGGA